TCATAACGAATAATCCCTCTGATATCAAAAAAGGTTAGCAACATCTTTGCAACAAGTTTGCGAACTTAATTGTCTGACCTCATAATTTGGAATAGTTTGTCAAGTAATACAGGAAAACTTGTGCTTTTGATAGAGATAGAATTGAATCTATAGATTGGTTTGGGAAGATTTTTTTTTAAACAATATTGAGTCTTTCAATTAGTAGACAGACCACATACTCAGGCCTTATTTAATGCCTTTAAGTACATTTTTATGATATTCTCCATAAGGTGTTATACACCTTTTGTTAGCTGTATCAAAGAAGTGCTTTTTTGTGTTAGTGTACGTAGTATTTCAAAATTACATTTTGAATGCTTCTATTCTTTTGTATAGGAATATAATTGATTTATAAACAACTTGATCTTCTATACAACTTGATAATTTACTCATAGTTGTAGGTTTTCTGTGCCAACAGTCACATTGTGAGGAGATAAGGAAAGTTTTGCTTATTCCTTTCTAATGCTCAAGCCTTTAATTTCCTTTTCTTGTCTAGCCCACAGGTTAGAACCTGAAGTTTAATCCTGAATAGTGTTTGCAATTGTGGTCATCCTTGTTGTAACACTCATTTTTAAAAACTTTTTATTTTCAGATAATTGCACATTCACATGCAGTTATAAGAAATAATGCAGAGAGAGCCTATATATCCTACACCCAGTTTCTCCCGATGTTAACTATGTAACAATAGTACAATAGCACAGGAAATTGACATTGATACAATCCACTGAACCTTATTCAGACTACAGCAATTTTGCATGCACACATATATGTGTGCATATTTAGTTTTATGCCATTTTATCACATTTGTAGAGTTGTGTGACCTTCACCATGGTCAAGATACAGAACAATTCCATCACAAAGATCTGCCCCCCTACCCCCTCAGCTACCCTTTTTATAGTTACAGCCTCCTCCCTTCCTATCCCCCTCCTAACCGCTGTCAACCACTGATTTGTTCTCCATCTCTATAATTTTGCTCTTTCAAGAATATTATTAAAATGGAATCATGCAGTATGTAACTTTCTAAGATTGGCTTTTTCTTTTCGCTCAGCATAATTCCTTTGAGATCCACCCAGGTTGTATGAATAACTAGTTCACTCATTATTGCTTAGTAGTATTCTGTGGTACGGATGAACCACAATTGGTTTAACCATTCACCCATTGAAGGACATTTGGATTGTTTCCAGTTATGACTATTAGAAATAAAGATAATATGACATTCACATACAGGTTTTTGTGTGGACATAAATCTTCCTTNCAGCTATCCAGACTCACCCAGTCATTTCCTTAGCCTTGTGTTGATGTGACCCTATATTTTATTCAATTCAAGTTTTGGATTCTGTTTATTATGTTATAGCAGAGTTTTGCTGTACCTAGTGAGTAGTCTACCAAAAGAAATATAACTTTTAGGAAAGGTATAAATTTCAGAGAAAATAAGTGATAAGTGTCAATAGAGGAGGAATAATGAGAGACTTTATAGTATTTGAAGAGTGGGCCAGATTACCACGTGGGTTCATGGCTGACTAGAAAAACAAGGTTAAGAATCCCTACAGGTGATTGGGGCAAGGGAGAAAGTTTAGTAGTCACCTAAAGTGCTCAGCTTTTGTTGGTATCTAGAAGGTGATAGTGGCTGGAAGCTTGCACATTATGGAACCAAAGAGACTGTTGGAAGCAAGGTAGCTTGTTTAGGGTCATTCTTATGTAGTTATCTTCTCAATTTTACAAGTAAATGTTCATGTTCTTTTATTTTTGGTCCACTTCTATTTTTCCTACATCACACATCAGCTCTAATCAAATTTTATGGTACAATTTACATTTTGCTCTTTTGAGAGGTCAGCTATTTCTTGATGACTAGGAAAATATCAGTCTAATTTATGCGTGGGACACAATTTTGGATATTCTTCTTGCATAATTTCAGTGACAACATTCATTAAATTTCATTACTTGGGGTTAGTTTTGCAAATCCTTATAGATCCTTTTAACTGACTTTATTTTTTCTGTATTAGGAGAAATAAGTCCCTACTTGGAATGAAAAAACTGAAATATAAGGACAATATTTTCTTTAAAAAGGTGACTAAACCTGTGAAGAAGTTCAGAGCTGTAGTAATGGCGATTGGAACAGTAAGTTACATATAAGTTTTGAATTTTAAGTTAATGAAATGAAGAGATTCATGTATCTAGAGATGATTGCATTTCTACATTATAATTTATTATAATATGAAACAGAAGGAAATACCAACAAGCATAATTTTATAATTACACAATACATTATAATTCTTAAGTTATCGTATGGATATTTTTATCATCATATTTTTTTTTGTCTATGGGGTACTTTTGTTACTTTCGATAATAATTTTAATTGAGGGGTATAAAAAAACCACTGCATGCTAATGTCAAGAGATAAGCATTAGAGTATGAGTAAATTATAGTATTGTGTTCACAGTTTAATTGTAGATTGTAACATTTTGTTTTCTCCTATATTAAGATTGAAGAAATACAAAGAAAAAGAAATAAACAAGCAGAAACTCTAAGAGACCTTTCTTCCAAAAATCCATGTATTTCTGAAATGATGGAACATGACAGGTGTGAATTATTTAATTAATTTGAAAGACATTTACTTGAAGGTTACTATGTGCTGGGCATTATTTTAGGCACTAAGGCTACACTGGTTAACTAGGCAGATAAGATCGCTGCCCTCAGGGAACTTACATACTAATGAAAGAAGCTCAATCAACAAGTAAACATATACATATGACAATTTACAATGTTCATAAATTTTATAAAATAAGTAAACAGGATGATATGCTAGAGTAGTTGACCTGGGGTGGAGGTGGTGGCAGCAGTAGTTTAGGTAGAGTGGTCAGGAGACCAAATTAGTAAATTACTTTTAAATATTGGTGGACCTAATTTTCTTATTNTGGTCTTTATGTTCAGCTATGCAGAAATATCAACATTATTGCTTAACTAACTCAGAGTGAAATATAATGAAAATTAGGGTAATTAGTTATTCTGATAATTATCGGCAGGTTTTTTTCCCAACTAGTCCTTAGAGACAACTTTTTTGAGACCTTTCTTAACACTGAGTTATTTGGAAAATAATGGAAATATAGACTGTAAAGAATTATTTGATTTTAGAAAAACAATAGTTCTCACCACATTTAGGCCTATGTATTTTTTAAAAGTGAGAAATCTAAAAAGCAGGTTAATAAACTTGCTTGTTGGAACAAAATGACTATTAGCAATAGTAACCTCTCAGCACCAATAACTAAATGTATTGATAACTACATACTTCCTTGTTTTCACAGTTATGAAATTTAAGCACAAACCTAGATTCCTGGAATTTTTTACGCAAGTTATGCTAAAATGTATGCATGATGAAAAATTTCACCTTATGGTGGAGATAACAAATCCTGTCTGTGACTTCTTGAAAAGGTACTTGTATATCTATTTTATTGGTATTACGAGTCACAGCTTTAAAAAATGAGTCACATTGTCACTTAATGATATAAAAGGTGGATGCAACAGAGAGTAAGATATAGACAGTTAAAACAGCCACCTGGGAGATAATGAGGATTTATGTCTGTCTGCATAAATAAATAACTAAACATAAAAACATTTATACAATTGCACTAAGAAATAAGACTAGAGCACATTCATATTTCTAGCAGAAAATAAATTAGGCCTTTTTGCTATTGAGTCAAAATGGATAATAACATCTCTTGGCCATCAGCTGTCCTCATACATAGGCTTCTGGGTCCAGTTTCGGTCATTTACCTAATTTCCTAATTCCTCTACGTTAGCAAGCAGAGCCATTCCTTGGGGTTTTCATTTGCATATGTGAATGGGGAGTTCAGTAGTAAAACTTAAAGCTATTCCCCTTGCTCTGTAAGCCTGGATGATTCTCTTTGTCCCCAAAGAAAATTATAGTGTTTCATGCCAGCTATGAGAGATGCCAAATGAAACCAACTTTTGTTCCAACAACTGGGCTTTACTTTCACCATTAGGCCGAGATCTATCTCATTTTAGTAATAAAAAACATCAATAACATGAGGTCTGTTTTAAAAATGGCAGCAGAAGAAAAACATTATCATAAAAATACACAGGCAAATAGTCTTCCTAAAATATGCACTTCATTTATTAGAACAAAAGCTTGGAATATATGTGCTTCATTTTTCAAAAGATGGAAGAGGAAATTGCTTTTATTAAATGAAGCAGGCCATGGTAATAAGAGAATTGGTCAGAATTAGAAAGCTCCATTAAATAAAAAATTTTAAAAAAGCATAGCCAAAATTAGATGTTTAGAAGCTGTAAATAATATTCCTGATACCAGAGAAAATTAGAAGTATGCAGTGAAATTTGGAGGGTTGACTGTGGAGGTCCAATCTAAGCAAAATAGATATTCTGAAAGAGGAAAACTCTTTCAGAATAAGAGTAAGTGGCTTAGAGGCATTGACCAGTGGTATAATAAAAGACCTCAGGTTGGAGAGTGAGCAGTATAACTGAGTTCAAACCAAGGTAATGATTTCAGTTTTCCAGGCTGAGCACCTGTTTTAGGATGTTCTTCTCCAAGTCAGGGAATACAGAGGATAGGCAGATGCCACACCTTGATTTCTACTTTGATAGTAATAGCAGTTTTCTTTTATGTTCATGTGTTTAACATATTTTTACACAAAGAAATTTTCTCATGCTGCAACAGACAAATATGCAGCTGTATTTTCTTCCAGCTTTATGATTTTATGGTGTATGTTTAATGTTTTAATCCATATGGAATTTATTTTATTGGGATTTAGATGAACCTTGAGGGGTTTTTTCCACTAAAAGTTTTACCAGTTGTCCTGGTATCATTTAAAGTATGTACTTTTTTTTTTCAATTTTTATTTTTTTAAATATTTTTTTATTATTTCAATTACAGTTGATATACAATAATATATTAGTTTCAGGTGTACAACATAGTGATTAGACATTTATATAATTTAAGAAGTGATCCCCCTGATTAGTCTAGTACCCACCTGGCACTATACATAGTTAGTACCATATTATTGACTGTATTCCTTATGCTTTACTTTACATCTCCATGACTATTCTGTAACTACCCATTTGTACTTCTTAATCCCTTCTTTTTCACCAGTCCTCAACTCTCCTCCCATCTAGCAACCATCAGAATGTTCTGTCTATCTATGAGTTTTTTCTCTTTTATTTTGTTCTTTAGATTCCACATATAAACAAAGTCACATTGCATATGAAAATAACTGCTGAAAAAACAAGGCTAATTTGACAGAAACATAATAATATTAAGAGTTTAACATGATATTTAAAAAAAAGACAGAAATAAAAAAGACATAGAAAAATGTACATAATATATTAAGAAGATTAATTTAGTATATATAGTCAATTGAGACCAAACACCCTTTAAAACACTCATTAAGTTAAAAAAACATAATATTTAAGCTGAAAAGTAAAGCTCAATAGATCATTCAGACTAAAATTTGTGAAGACCACATTCTCTTACACTACAATAAAACTGATATAACAGAATTAATTCCTGGCATGTAAAATTATTGGATCAAAAATAAATCTAAGTAAAGGTATAGGTCCTTTAAAAAATAATGATAACAAGAAACCTATTATTCCTTCCATCATTTAACATTGTTTTGAAAGTTCTTGCCAGTGCATTAAAATAAAAAATAGAATTTGGGACAAAATTTATGTGATTATCACATAATAGGGTCTCAAAATGTTTGCAAATGAATTCTACAATAAGGTACTCTGAAAATGAAGATAAAATGATTGATATTTCAAATACTTATTTTTGACATATGCTAATTGATTAAAAAACTAATAATAGAATTATATTAGTTAGATGCAAATTTGCAAAATCAGGAGCTTTCCTATATCAACTAGAAATTATAGTAGAAAAATCATCTCATTTCCATGAAGGACAAGATTAAATTTGTTAGGAGTTGTGAGAGGACTTAGGTTAATATAAAGACCAAAAGTCCTTACTAAGAGATATAAAAACAATGACTTGAATAAATGGAGCAGCATAGTACATTGCTCAGTGGGCAGATGGAATATTGTAAAGATTTCTATTATTTTAAAATTAATTTATAGGTTTAATGTAATTCCAGTCAGATTAGTTTACATGGAATAGGCTAGAATAATGAAAATATTTGAAAAATTAAGAAACCTTGAAGGAGAGATTTGTACTATCAGATAAAATATAACCGAGTTGTATTTCTAAAATAACAGTAATACTGCTCTTGGGACTCAATGTTTCAAGTTAGAAAAAGGCACTGATATAAGAAATCAAAACAAGGAATAAGCCATGAAATCAAAGATTAATAATGCTGACTACATATAAATTTAAAAATACTGTTTTTTCATAACATACCATAAACAAAGTTAAAAATCAGTCAGAGATAGGAGGAAGAGTTCTATGAAGAGGTGAAGGGGTGGAGTTTAATTTATTCAGTGGATGAGAGTTCTGCTGAGCCTGACTGAAAATGCTGAGAGGATTGGGCAGATGGCAGCCCAAGTGTACATCCATGACCGCCTCTCCTTCCCATATCTTCCTGGAATACAGCAACCAGGTCAAACATTCTGCTGGAATGGGATAGGGAGGAGATAGAGAAGAGACCAAGCAGGTTGGAACATGGCTGACAACCAGTCTCAGGATGCAGGTTGCAGAGGATGGGTCCCCAAAACATTAGCCAAAATGAATGTCAGCTAACTGGGAGATTCTTGGAATTGCTGCAGCTGGGCTGGAGTCCCAACCAACCACAGGATCCAGGATCATCATCATCAAAATTGAAGCGAGAGGCCAGCCAACAGTGGGACGAAGATGAATCTGGAACTCCAACTCCTGGAACCAGCTATCCAGACTCACCCAGTCATTTCCTTAGCCTTGTGTTGATGTGACCCTATATTTTATTCAATTCAAGTTTTGGATTCTGTTTATTATGTT